TAGTCATCAAAGTAGTCAAACTAGTATGGTTAAGAAAAATATGCACTCATAAAATTGTCATTTATCTATGAAGGTTAATTAAATGTCTATATTGAAAAATAAATAGATAAATTGACTTTCTGTAATGGTAGAACTATCATTCTACGAATAGTGAAAATTATGAGGTAAATTAATATTTTCAATCAAACATATATTGTATTTTCAAAGATGTCGTATATGTTGGTTGAAATGATTTAATTGCATATTAAAGATTTAAAAAATGACATTTAAATTATGATAGTGTGTCGTAGTATCTACCCAAAAGATAATTACGATGTACTTTTATCAGTTTTACTGAAAATTCACATTATTTTAATATGTGAGCGTGTATCTATTTGCAGTTATTCCTCTTCATTCACATGTTTCTTCTGTTATTGTGTTCAATGGATTGAACTTCTTTGAATGACATGAACAAGTGTAGTTCCACTTAGGTGTGATAGATCTTGACTTGACTTTGCTCAATGACAAACGTATTGCCATTTACTAATAAGAGCAGTGAGAATGAGAAGTCTTTTTATAAATTATGGAAACGTTCTCATATATTAAGTCTTATATTCATGCGAACGACTGTTGCTAACAACATAGAGAATACTATTCCACAAACAGAAAGTGTCAGGAAATATCTGAAGTTTATGAAAGAATATTTTCGTTCTGTCTCCATGTATATTTCTCTTTATGCGTCTGTTCCAATTACAGCCCGATAAAAGTAACATAATTTTGCTTTAGATTTAAATCATGTATTAACAAGTTGAAGTCTTTTTACCTTTAAGTTTTGCCAATTTTGCCAATGACAAATAAAACATATATCTAGAGTATAGTTCCACAAAAGGGGATTAGGGAGAATAGAGTACGTAAATTTTATTCTTACCTAAAAAATAAAAAAGTTATTTATAATAGATCATTGATTTAAAAAAAACAATTTAAAATAGTCATGAAAAAAGAAATACGCTAATAAAAGTGAGCAAAACATTCATGTGATCATTAGTAACTACAACTGCTAATACGATAAAAACAAGAAGCTAAAAAAATAATACTATAACTACTATTACATCGGTAAGGATATCAAGCGAAGACACTAGTACGTACTTCCTAACCTTGGGTAATAATTTATATTGGGCACAAATCAACTTTGAACCTAAAATCAGATCTTATTCACGTGATATTATTTGATTTGTTTTATTTTAGTTATTCCCATCTAGCCAAAAAGAAAAATATATTTAATCAAATTTAATTTACTTGTCTTTAATTCCATGTTTACAAATATAACTTAATTTGTACCTACTCAAATTTTCCGACAAACAATCCTAATCTGTGTCCTTCATATATATATATATGAAAGGAGAAAGATGGGTGATAGATAAACAAGATGGCAAATTACTCTATTCAGTTACAAAAAGAATGACATATTATATATTTAGTAATAATTTAATTTACAAACATGGATTGTGATATATTGGTGAAAGTGTTACACCCTTACTTAAGATTTCTCGAGTTCAAGCTCGGAGTATGAAAAAATCATATTGAAAGCGCAACCCTTAAATAGGTCTTGTAAAGCGCGATTCGAATTTAATCGGAGCTCTAATGTGGGCTCAGATGAAAAACAACAACAAAAATTGATTTCAAAATATTCATTTTACTTTTGATGATATCATTGATATGATTTATAACTACACATATATTATCACTATTTTAAATCACAAATTTCAAACAGTTTCTTTCTTTTTTAAATTCTGTATCAAATTAAACTAAATCATATAAATCAAATATAATATTTACCAATATTAGGAGGAAGTAAAAATGAGGTAACATCCAACATATATGCAAACATAAACTATTGGCAAGTTGTCACTTGTCGATGTAAGAAGGTAAAATATCAACATCACAAAATTTTGAAGTTGGATAAATTAAAATTCAAACTTTAATCCCACTGAATTTCTACGAAACCACTGCTACGTACGTTCTACCAAATAAATAAACTAAAACTACTTTATTAATTCAATTAAAATAATTCAAAGTGTCGGTACACTGTCTCTTTTTTAAAAATTAATTTAATCATAGACAAACTCCAAAATAATATATATTCCTGCTTGCCCACAAGAGAAGCTAGGGAACCCTAGTAATACTTAATTAGTTAATTGATGAAATAATAAGCTACTTATTTTGTCTTAATTTTGTTTGACATCAATACCATTTATAGAGTGATGATCATGGTAGTGTTTTTAGTATGTTTTAAACTACCAAATTAAAAATTACTTCACTACATTTTAAGCAATTTTTGAATCTATTTATTTTATTTTATTTAAAAGAATCATACAAAATTCATACGATGTCTTTCGTTTTAGGTATTTGATGTTTGAAAATTGAAATTCATTAGCTCAATTTACCTAAATTTGTTGTTGGTAGATTCTTGAGAAATAATGTACTTTAATAAAAATTGTTTTGAAAGAGTGAGCACTTTGACTAAATTATTTGGAAAGTTTTTTTTGTTAGCTGTTTGTATTTGACCATGTTTTAAATCTCAAATAAAACAAATCATTATTCTCTTCGTTTATTTTTATTTTCATGTTACGCTTTTCAAAGTCAATTTGACTAACTTTCAAAATTAAATTAGATTACATTAATTTTGATATTTTAAAAAAATATATATTCAAAAACTATATGAAATATAGTATAAATTACAATTTTTTACATATCAATATGATAAAAAAATACATCTGAAAATATTAGTCAAAGTACTTACAGTTTGACTCTAAAAATAAAAATTATGACAATTAATTATTGACGAAGAAAGTACTAATTAATTATTTTTATCTTCGAAAAAATATATATTAATAATGAAAATAAAATACTCCATGACCATAATAATAATAATAATAATAAATAAATAAATAAACAAATTAGTCAACAGAGAAAGCAAATAACGACCGGCCCCTATACATTGACCTTTTTATACACAAGTGGGTTGTACCGTCTCCATCGGACCACGGTATTAACACAAAAAAAAATAGAGGACCACGTGGGAAACATATCAACGGTCTAAAAATTGACACGTGGAATTGATAGCAAAAGCTGCGCTCATCCAGCCGTCCAAATAGTGTCGGTGGAGATTTGGCATGGCTTCCAAGAGAGGTAATGTTAAAGATACAGTCACCGTTGATTGCGTGTCGGGTTTTCATCGTCCAATAAATTGACACATATAAATAAAAGTATATTGTTTAAAATATAAAAAATAAATATATCTACTAAAAGAAGGCATACAATATTTAGTATATATAGTATATATTAAATAATATAATTTTTTATTAAAATAGTTCAAATAAAATAAAATAAAATTGAGTTCTCAACTAGCTCCGCTCCTGTAACGTAGGTGTTATTGTTTTGTATGGTTGACAATGGTACGTTGACGTAATACCTCAATTAAAAATATAATTTTTTTCTTTAAAAAAAAATCTTAAATTTAACTTGTGTATACGTATACTTATGAAATAAAGAAATTTTGCAATATTAGTACGTTTCGTCTATTATAAACCTTCACTAGTATGTATACTTGTAATTATTATTTTTTGAAGTATTCTAAAAATGTAAAAATCTTGTCTCAGTTAGTACTTTCTTTCTTTTCTTATTCTTTTTAAACTTAATATGCTTCTTAAAACAATATAATTAATTTATCACAATGATTTATGTTGATTAATTAATTTATATTGATTAATTATAGTCTTAAAATGTTTTTTTTTTAAAGGGGTAAGTAATATATAAAGGTTAAACTGATACTTAAGTATTATCTTTTCAGTCTGAATGACAATTGGGTCCCTAGTACATTAACTTTTGGAGACTAGACATGAAGGCTGCTAAAAATACATACATTATAAATTTAACTGACTAAAAAACAAAAAACATTACCCCATTTAGACTACTTTTTATTCTTTTAGGTAAATTTTTCTTTTGTTAAAATTTACTTATAATATCTTAAAATTTTAAATTAAAAATATTGGGAAATAATTGATTGTAGTATATTATTTGAAGAAAAAGTCTGCCTCACACATGGACTAATTGACAAAAAATTATACTGTGCCAGAAAGCTGGTTGCCATGTTGGTGATTTTTTATGGTCAAATTCAAAGCTCTTTAAATAATGCATTTATTTTAAATTTAGTAAAGGAATAAATAAAACTGTAGACCAACTTAATTTTTTTTTTTGTAAAAGAAAAGGTAAGTAGAATTAATTAATACCTAAGTGATTAATTTCCCTTTAGAGAAGTTAAAATAGGAAATTGTTTAAATATTTTAGCAAAATCGGTTCAATGAAGTTGACTAAACTATTCACCTCGTCCGCAGTTACTAAAATGATCGTATTTATTTTCGTAATTTAGTGAATAGCAATAATTTTTCTCGATCGTTCTGATAAAATATATAATAAAAAAAAAGTGACGCTTGAACTAAACCTCAAAAACTTATGTTGATCGAAAGGGATTTTCCAACTGTTTAAAAATTTTATTTTTGACAATTTTATTTTTTTTGGTCATGTAAATTAGGTAAAATCTTAAATATGTTGCTTAGTTTTCTAGATTGTATTTTATATCAAACATGGTAATTTTTCAATAGACTTTAAACACAAGGCTTTTGGCAGCTTCTCTGTCTGCCTTCCTTTTTTTTCTTATATATTTGTCATGACTTACTCTAGAAATATACATATAAAGTGATGCCCTACCAATAAATTAAATAGATTACCAAAGTTCAATTCTTTTTTATATTATTATTATTATTATTATTATATAATGTAAATGTGCAGTAGAGTTCTCACCTATTTTCTTCTATTTGCTGTCCATTCATTTATTTATACATTTTTGTAGTATCGTATTTTTTTCCATCTCTCTCTGTCCCCCATCTTCTTCCAGCCTTCTCCACACACACACAACAAAAAAAAAATACAAAAAAC